CAGATATAGAAAACGGATTTAGAGTAAATTTTTCATAACAAGTCTTCTACTATACACCTCTTTCCATAGGAGCAGAGTTTTTTGAGCTAAGATTTGCATAATTAAATAGAGAAATTAAGAACATGGCGGGAATGATGGAATAATCATTTTTGAATAGTTACTCAAAGTTTTTATTATTACTTATCTTCATATGAAGTACAACGTTTGAACGTGCATATGTGTGTAGTCTGTGCATGTTCCGACTACAATATTTCTAAGTAGACAACGCAAATATACTTTGGCACATGAGTGATGTAGGTGCTCTATGCAAAAAAAGTCGCCAGGTTTGACCAATGTGGATTTTTGTCAATTTTGAGTGTCGACTTTTGCACTTTTCACTGTAAGCTATTAAAATCTTGCGGTTACTATATCACTACGCTGATCATAAATATCATGACCGATAAAATCTGTAAAATATTGAGCGATTTCATCAACTCGTACACTCTTTCGCATTATACGGTCTAAGGCTCTGAGATCAGTTTAAGGATAGGGTAACATGCTAATTGTAATATGACTTGCTAGAAATAATACCAGTTAGATTTGATATCTTAACCATTTTGCGGGGGATGTTTTATTCCAGTACACTAGAATACAGGTAAAAGTTGTTTTGCCTAATAAATTAATCGATCTGCAAAAAAAATTAGCATGACCATCCGAAAGTGTAATTGCCTTACCGATGTTTTAGGGTCAATAGTGATCAAGAATAGATCACTTGTGCAAGAGATACACTTTACCAGTTCTCCTTTCTATTGGTTTTTAAAACTAGTGGATTGGCTTCATGCGTAAATGCTTTCTAATCCATTCATGGATTCTAGATAAGAGTGCATTACTTTTTGCTCTGTTATATATATAGGAACTTTTTTATAGAGGCTTTTCCCACCTAATTATAAATTTTTGTCATATTCTACACGTTTTTCTTTGAACACGAGTTCGAAAATGATGAGATTTACTTTTAGCTGTTTCTTCTCGCTTGGCCTGGTTATTAAATTACATTTTTTCATTGCCTAGAGGGGCTAAGGCATTCAGAAGGTAAAAGCTCGTGAGCGCACTCGTGATGTAAACAAAGTCGAAAGATCGTGTTGAAGAGTCTCAGTTGAAGGAGAAGTTCTAATGTAATAAAAATTGCAGTATTGTTTTATTTATC